ATTCATTCATTCATTCATTCATTCATTCATTCTTTCTACTGTTGATTATTTCCTAAATGCGCATCTTTTTTTTTCTACAGTAAAGCAGGTATTGGAGAAGTTTTTGAAGGTCACCAGGGCCCAGTGACAGGAATCAATTGCCACATGGCAGTGGGTCCAATTGATTTCTCTCATCTATTTGTCACATCATCGTTTGATTGGACTGTCAAGTTGTGGACCACAAAGGTAAGAAATAGATTGAGAAGGTTTGCTTTGGCCTCTGTCCTCTCCACCAACTGTCAGGACTAGGCGAAAAGGGATGAATGGTGTCCATGCTACAGCATTACAGCAGATATGATAATGTTTCCCCAGGGAAACTTCAGTAAAGTAACCAGAACTATTTTCCAGTAGTTTCTGGGTAAAAGTAAATGGACCCAAAAGGTCCTGTAGCTTCCCTCCTTCCTCTCTCACACATACTCACCCACCTATATAAGCATATATTTTATTTATCCATCATTCTTTCAGTCTCTCTTTTTCACAAATGCATATTACTATCTCTCCAGACCTCAGAGTTGTTGGGGTCAGAAGCAATAGTATGTTGATGCAGGCCAGAAGAGGGTACCATTTTCAGCTGCACTGAAGCTTAGGAAAAAGTTTCCATTCATATAAGGTAACTATGATGTAGAAGTAAGCATGCAGGATTGAGGAGAACGGGATGAACTCCATCCAAATCCTTCCACCCATGCTTTGCACTGTAGAGGAAACAGTTATTTTAACTGTTGTTATTTATGTAAAGATAGAGCTTGAACTTGCCTATTATATATAGTATTCGATGTTAGCAACTTATAAAGAACTTGGTTAACTCAGTATACTATCACTGGATCACTGTGGCATCCACAATGCAATTTTTTCCAAAGCTGAGAGATGGGGAGCTATGTAAGGCTATTCATTGAAATCTGGATTTAAATTCAGATTTGTTGTATTAGAAATGTAACCTACTAGTGCACATTGGTTGTTTACAGTATTTATGACATTTGTTAAATGCTTACACTTCTACAAATAGTGCTGATACAAAACTCCGCCTATTTCAAAATAGAGTAAATTTTCCATTGTTGAGCTTGAATTTTAGTATGACATTTGTCTTTACATTCTAATTTCAGAATGTTAAAAAAGGCCATAGTAATTAGTTTGTTTGGGTGAATGAATACATGAAGTTAATATAAAATTTACTACATTCTTTTGCAAGGTCAGCTGTCAGATAATCAACCTGGTTGCATACTCGTGAAAGGAAACACTGATCACTTCACATTGGATGTCAGATGTTGATTGCTGCACACAGTATTCAATATTAATTATTACTGTCAGTGTTTTATTATTATTGAATGGCAGCTCTCAGTCTAACATGGATGCTAGTCTGTATTTGTAAATTATATGGAAGTCAAATGCTCAATATAGTTATCCAGCAAATGTTTCCTGAGTATCTCCTGACCAGGGGAAAAAAATGGAAGGAAATCCCATCTGTGTGATTTTTTTCTGAATGTAAAAGTCTTGTGGAGTGATTGAGAAGATAAGGTTAGCAGCAGCTTTCCAGGGCTTTAGACTAAAGTCATTCTGAGACCTACTAGGAGATACCAAAGTGTAAACTACAAGTCTTTTCCATGCAAAGCATGTGCTCAGTCACCAAGCTCTAGCTTTTCCCCAGACATGTGATATCAAGAGAGACCCATAACATGAACTCCTCTAGCTATAGCATATTTCCAAGAACTAAAACAATGTTGTCATGGGAAAGAACATATCATGCACTCTTCCTACTTAAACTTGGATTAATTATTTAGAGGTACAGGATGAAACCATTAAAAGAGAGACTTAATGGTGGGAGAAAACTGGGAAGAGAATCAGAAGAGAAAACTTATGAAATTAACTCATTGGTAGAGTCAAAGAGAAAAAAGGAGAAAATAGCTGATAAATAATTAGCAGAGGAAACTTGGAAGACCAGTTTTCAAACATGGTTGGTATCAAAGAGGTTGCTTATATTTGTCGACATTTGTTGGCTATTTTGATTGGTTTTCTTATTCCAGAGTGTACTGGTATGAATTGTCCAAAATAAGTAAGTTGGTGTATTTTAATAGGTCCTTACAAAACATTAATTTCTAACAGAGCTGCAGTACCTCAAAGCCATAATCGTTAGGAATGTAGGGAAGTGTTTCAGTGATATATAATTCAGGAAATGACACCTTGTTCTGAAGCATATAACAACTGTAAAATGCTCTCTTTTTTTTTGACATAATTGATTTAAATTTGCCCATTTTTGTTGTTTAGGATGCAACTATGGTCTGTGAAGCCAATGTAATTTTGATCATTGAATCATGAAAGCTGAATTAAAATGCCCCCAAATCAAGATATATCCTGGTATTAGATGAGACTTCAGTGCATTAGTGCTTTGAACATGTAAACTCTTTTCTAAAGGCCACCTGTTCATTAATAGATACCAAGGATTATTAAATAATGTTAATGTGCAGCAATCTCTCTGCTGTGTATCCTGTTATCATACAAGGAGAATGATACTATTCCACATGAAGAAAAAACAGATTTGAATTTCTTAGACATTGTTTTGTCAGAGCATCCCTTTATTCTACCATGCATCAAAAGGAATATGTTTGCTCTGGGGGACTGAACAAGCCTGAACAGGATTTCAAATGCAATTTGTACTGCTTTTTTTCACCCATTAATTCTACTTCCAATGTGTGGAAAATATATATTCAAGACATGTTCCCTATAATGCATATCAGCTTTGTGTGCAATAGAATATTAATATTGGAACTCTGTTAGGAATATTTTGGGGACTATTGCATGAGCTGTACTATACTGTTAAATCATGTTATTATTCCCCTGTGTTCCGTTGTCACTTTAGTACAGTGCCCACTTCCAAGCAACATCACTGTACCTACAGCATATCTCGTGTTTTTTCATGTTTCTTCCCTTATTCCCTAGTATGAGAGAATCATTTAATTGACCTAAGCAGAAATAAATAAGAATTATCTTCTAGGTTTGGGACATAGAGACAGCAGAGAGAATAGATGGAGAAGAATGGGCCAGGATTAACTGGTTGGATGAGATGGTAATGTGGTAAAAGAGGAACTCAAAGGCAAGTAAAAAAAAAAAGAGGCATTGAGTAATATTGCTATAAGTCATCGTTTGAGAACAGTAATATGGTTAAAATAGATGCAACATTACATCCATTGAGGCTTCTATGGTGCACAGCTATTTTTATTGCAAATAATTGCTGGTTAGGGATTGAGTAATAGTTAGAATTGTGACATCCATGGAAAAGTAGTCCTGCAATCCTGAAATGATGTTAGTCTTGAGAAGAAATTTCCATTGATGCCAATGAGGTTAGGATTAGGGTTCTTCTTGCTTGCTGCAGTCTTTCCAAGGTTCAGCTCCTGACTTAGCTGAGGATTTCTATATATCACTATGCGTTAGATAGAAAGAGGCATTTAACATCATCTCTGTTAAATGATATGAGCTCACTGAAAAATATATCATGGTCTTACAGTATTTTGTCACATAGTTCAAATAGTAACCCATTCCTCCTTAATCACAATTGCCACAACTTTCCTATTCTTTCTCCCTTTCTCAATGGATGACATAATTGGATGTCAGTATTACTGACTGATCTCTTGCTTTTCTTTGTTTCTACTTCTTTTTTTTGGGTGGTGGGGAAACTCTGGTAAAACCTAAGGGGAGAGAGATGCCTGGACTCTTAAATGTGGTTTCTTCCATGTGGTCAGGTACAGTAGGATTGGCAGGAAGTTTTCCCTTTGAGTTTTTTCTTTCCTCTTAAATTAATTTCCTCTAACTCCCACTTGCATCATCTTGGTCAATTGGTATTCCCAAAACAAGCATATGTTTGCTTTATACTCATGCATCCTTCCTCTTAATCTGTTTTTTCTCTTTGTTTCAACAAAATAATTTAAACATATGCTTATTTAGTTCTTTTATGATCTAAGTTTCATCTTAGTAGGGCACAGCATTCCTACTCAATGTAAGGCCTATACGGTTATTCATAACTTCAGCCTGCCTGCACCTACCCATCCCTTTCCCAGAATTGAGCATTGTGCTCCTATCAGAAAGTTGAATGTCTCAGAACAGCAGTTATGCCAAAATGGCATCCTGTGAGCACTCACTCCTTTAGCTTTAATCTGCAAAATTTGAGTAACTTAAAGTAATTCTAATTAGTTCAGCTGTTTTCTGCATTCTGCCACAGAATAATATGAGAAATAAAATAGATGTGCACATGATCTATCATGAATGATGTTTAAAATTATTTGTTTTAGGAGTTGATTTCTATTAAAAGTGTGGCCCTGTTGAATAAATTATACTAGCGGGTTATTTCAATAAAGCTTAAGAAAATTACAAGAAAATAAAGTTTAAGAAAATACATTATTACATTTATCGTTTTCTATTTTATATCCTGCCTTTACGTTTGATAGAGAAGAAATAGTTGTGTTTTGTACTGATTTATGTTTGTCTATTTACCTTGTTCCAGTTTAGGCTAACCATCTGGATTTTTTCATTAGAAAACATCAATCAATAAATATATTTACAGTAATTATAATAGAAATTCCCACATGCAAATGAGAAAACATGAATAAATACTTCCTCTCCTTAGTAGAATTAAATAGTACTTCACAGCAAAAGCAACTTACTTATGGTCTCATTTGCTAATGACTCATTGAAGTTCTTAATGTAGATTGTACAAATTTTTCATAACCTCCAACGCTCAGAGATGAAGCACATGGAGGCAAGGAGTAAGGGAGAAATGAGTCATAACTGATTTTGAATTTTTTTTATATAAATGCAATTTCCTCCCATTGATAATCAAACATCCAGA